TAGGGTCCTGGGTTTAGGGTTTAGGGTTCAAGGTTTAGGGGTGTACAAGGGTTCGATAAGGGTAGGGTTTCTAGGGTTTGGGTCCTTGGGGGTTTACGGCTTTGGGGTTTGGTTTGGCAGCTTGGGCCTAAACCCTAAACCAAAAAAACCCTAAACGGTCTTGCGATTTGACGTTTAGGGCCCGGCAGGCGTCGGAATCGATAATGTTGTTGTTAATGTTGTTATGATATGACTGGTGTCAGTATCATTATTGTGTTGTTCTTGTTTTATCATTAGTCGTAGTCGTCGTATTGTTGTAGTAGCAGAAGTATCAGAAGTAGTAGTAGTAGTAGTAGTGTAGTAGTAGTAGTAGTAGTAGTAGTAGTAGTAGTATTAGTAGTAGTAGTAGTAGTAGTAGTAGTAGCAACAGTAGTATCAGTAGTAGCATGAGTAGTAGTATCAGTAGTAGTACTACTACAATTACTAGCACTTTCATTATTGCCTGAGCTGATGCGCACGAAGTTCTACCATCTACAAGCTGGTCACAGAGCTCCCAGGCTGAAAGTTCCCTAAGCCTAGACGAGGCCCAAAGGCCAAGGATGGCCAGGGATGGTCCAGGGCTTGATTTAGGGTTTAGGGCTCTGGGTTTAGGGTTTAGGGCTTAGGGTGTGGGGCTTAAGGCTTAGGGCTTGGGGTTCGGGGCTTAGGGTTTAGGGCTTAGGGTTTAGGGCTTTGGGTTTAGGGCTTCGGGTTTGGGGCTTTGGGTTTAGGGCGGGCCTTTCTCCACCTCGCGACAGGTCACGACAGTAGAGAGCCTCGATGAGGCAGGCTGTGTTCACTTACCTCCGAAGACATAGACCCGATCACTCTTCACCTCGGGGGACCCTGGTACTCGACGACGGTTTAGGGTTTAGGGTTCAGGGTTTAGGGTTTAGGGTTTAGGGTTTAGGGTTTAGGGTTTAGGGTCTTGACCCCCTCCTTGACCCCCGGCTTCTTGTTCAGGACCCCCTGTTCGTGCCGAATCCACCGAAGTCGACTGAACATCAACTCGACACGTCTCGAACGTCACACAGAAGGGTGTCTTGTACTAGGTCCGGCTCCTGATTCCCTTGACTCGCTTGTTCACACGACCCTTGCCCACCATCTGCCATGACGATTTTCTGGGCTTCCAAGAGCAACCTTTTCGTGCGGGAAGTCGCCACCCACCCACTGCACAAAGAGGTCCTGAAACGCCTGAAACTCCATAGGAATGGCATCGTCATCCGCGTTTAGGACTTAGAGTTTAGGGTCTAGGGCTTAGGATTTTGGGCTTAGGGTTTAGGGCTTAGGGTTCAGATGTTGAAGTTAAGCCCTCAACCTATCACACAAAAACATTGGAGCCTTGAATGCGAATCCAAATTCACGTTGGGCACTATATAGCACTAAACCCTAGAGCAACTGCGGCCCAGAACCCGAAAGCACCATAGGCACAGTGCGGAAGTTTGTCCCTGAGCCCAGAGCCCTAAACCCCAAACCTTGACCAATAAAACCAACAAAGAGCGGCCACCAACCTGTAAGAATGCAAGGGTTTAGGGTTTAGGGTTTAGGGTGCTGCCTTTGGGGAATTGCAGAGTCTTCGTGCCAAACTACTTCTCATCTCATGTCGAATGTATTCTTCCTTATGAAAGCAGAATGTAGTACAGCCAACTGAAACATGTGACAGTCTCTCGCATTGTCTGGTACCAAAAGATGTTAGAGTGTACTGTGGTCGTATGTTACGTTATGACATGGCGTACCTCATGTCACTACCAACTGTAAAATACCGTGGAAGGTTGCATTGTTGTATGTTGATATCACGCGACACCTGTCATCATAGTGCATGTGCTTCTGTGGTATTATGATACCATAGTTGCTGCATGTGCCATCGAAGTGATAGCTCTTCCGAACACCTCCCAGAACTAGGCATAAAGTAGGTTCCCATTGTTGGTTCGGAAAACTTGCATTCTCGGTGACCCGCCCACCCCCCTCCCCCTCCCCCCTAAACCCTAGGCCCTAAACCCTTACCCCCCCCCCACCGCCCCCTCCCAAATAATCCTGGCCTTGATCCACTTCGTCCTCGCTGAACTTCGGGGAAAGCAGGGTCTTTTTTTAGGCTTTGGGATGTCGGGTTTAGGGATTTCGGGTTTAGGTGAAGGTTTAGGGTGTGGCTGGTTAAAAGGAGTTCTGTAGATATTTGCAAGTTTAACATAGGGGCCTGCATAATCACCATACGGCTTGGTTTGGGATGTTATACCCCAATTATTTATAGGCTACTTATGGCGGACTATAACCCGAACCCGTACAAACCCCTAAACACAAACCCCAAAGGAATTTGTGCAGGGTCTAGGTTTAGGGTTCAGGGTTTGGGATTTAGGGTTCAGGGTTTAGGATTTAGGATCGTGGCCTAGGGCTTAAAACTTATATAGGCTTAGGATGGGCTTTATTTTCAAGCTGCGTGCCCCAACAAAGCTCATATTTACCTCAGCTTGCAGTGCTTCGGATTCCGCAGCTTACCCCTAAAACCATACGAAACGCTACAACCCTCCATCCTCAAAACCTTGCTAACGCCATTCCCCGCAACGCCAAGCCTCAAGCACTAAATTCCAGGGTCTATGGCTTACGGTTAAATACAGGGGCCTTAGTAATTGGAATGCGGCTTTGTGGTGCGTTATACCATAATTATAACAAGGAGCCCCCAAAATACCCTAAACCCTAAACCCTGAACCCTGAACCCTAAACCCTAAACCCTAAACCCTAAACCCTGAAGGCCCCGATATGAAGGCCAGGTTAACTCGAAGCCCGAAGGCCTCAAAGCAGTGCTGTAGGAAAGTGACTCAGCCCCCTGGGCAGGATGGTTTAGGGCTCTGAGGGTTTAGGGTTTAGGGTTTAGGGTTTAGGGTTTAGGGTTTAGGGTTAGGGTTTAGGGTTTAGGGTTTAGGGTTTAGGGTACAGGGCATCCTAAATCCCCTAAAGCCTTAACCCTGAACCCTCGTCCCAGTCTCGCATCCTAAACCGTAAACCCCTACCTAAACCTCAAACCCTCAACCTTCGTCCCAGTCCTCGTAGAAGGATTCTTGCAGATCTGGAACCAGCACTGAAGCCTGTGCCAAAGTTGGTTTTAGAATTTTACAGCGCGTCGCTTGCTGCGCGGCGTGCAACCGACGAGTGATTTAGGGTTTAGAGCAAGGGGTTTAGAGGTTTGGGGTCCGGAAGCGTGGGATTTAGAGCTTGCAGGGTTTGGAGTTTGGTGCTGAGTTGGCAATCTTATGCCAGGATGAAGGCAGCGCACGCGACAAGAATACTGTAGGGGCATTAATAGTTGGAATAGGGTTTTGGGGGCTCCTTTATATAATTATAGCATGATATACCCCCAAACCCTATTCTAATTATCAAAGTCCCTCCAGTACTATGGACAAAAGGACTGTTGAATCCTCTAGACTTTAAACTTAAACCCGGAAATCCTTATCCCCGGAACCTCAGAACCTATAAACAGCGAACAAGACTATGCCCAAACCCATTATCCTCTAAACGTCCTGAATATCCCAAACCCTCCGCAACAGTAGAATGGGCATCAGAGGTTGATCGGTTAGGGCTTGGGGTTTCCGAGGCAAGAACAAAGACAGAATAACACCGCACGCTCGTATCTCTCCACCCTGGATGCATAGTTGCAAGTCTGCCTGGATCGAACGGAACATGAACCAGCAATCCCTAAACCCTTAACCCTAAGCAATTGCAAGTCGGTGAATCGTGCGAACCTGCTCGGGGTCGTCACAAAAGACAGCTCAGCACACCCTCTGGGGACCCTGGCACTGAGCCTAAACAGCGAAACTTCATAGCTTTTGGGGTTTAGGGTTTAGGGTTTAGGGATTTGGTTTAGGGTTTAGGGTTTAGGGTTTTGGTTTAGGGTTTAGGGTTTTGGTTTAGGGTTTAGGGTTTTGGTTTAGGGTTTAGGGTTTTGGTTTAGGGTTTAGGGCCAAACGCTGAACCTTAAAACTTGGGGTGCCAACTCTTAAACCCCAAAACCTAGCACCTATGACACGTGAAACTGCCAGCCGTCTTGGCCCTAAATCTTAAACTGAAACAGTAGAATAGGGCTGTGGAGTATATTGTAACTCTAACAGGGAAGTCCCCCTCCCAACAAAAATAGTATAGGTAAGCATTTAGGCCCTGAGCCCTAAACCCGAAACTCTAAACCTAAAGCCCTAGACCCTAAGCCCTAAACCCTAAGCCCTCAACCCTAAGCCCTGCATTCGCTTGCCTGGGCGGCTGTGTCCGCCAAAGCTCCGCCGAAGCGCTCCGTGCTTGCTACCTGAAGGGGTTTTCGAAAATAGGGGACCCTAACATAGTACCCTAAATGGGGGTTTCCGAAAATAGGGGACTCTAATCTAGTACCCCAAATAGTAGGATCCTAATTATAAGGATCCTAATATTAGGGTACGCCTTATTTTCGGAAACTCCCAAATAGTAGGATCCTAATTATAAGGATCCTAATATTAGGGTACGCCTTATTTTCGGAAACTCCCAAATAGTAGGATCCTTATTTTAAGGACCCCAACATAAGGTACCCCTTGTTTTCGGACACCAACCTGAAGGGGTGTCTGGTCTTTGGGCTTAGGACTTAGGACGTAGGGTTTGGGGCTTAGGACTTAAGGTTTGGGGTTTAGGACTCTGGGTTTAGGGTTTAGGGCGTAGGGATTAATATGTTTGGCTTGGTTTGGTTGATGGCATTTACAGCACCTTCTTCTAGCAGTATCGTCGACAAGGACCCTCAAAGCTTGAATCTAGAAGACTTGAAGCACGGACATTCGAGTGTGGAGTGCTTCGAAGATGTCCAGCTTCTTATGCTGCCACTTGTTGCTGCGACAGACGATCGCCCCGACGACGACGACGACGACGACTGCTTCTACTGCCACTTTCACGACAAGCCTGGTTTTGTGTACCACTGCTTACCATCATCGCTGAGACTGCCGTCATCACTTTGGCGTGCAAGCTGAGCCGAGGACGAGCCCAGCCATCTGGTAGCGATCGAAGACCTGAATAGAGCGGGACGAGCAGCAAACCAGGGGTGAGTGGCGACATCAGGAAAGGGGTTTTCAGTGTATACCTAGTGTCGACATCAGGAACGAGGGTCTCAGTGTATACCTAGGTTCCCGTTAACTCCTTAACAAAACTTGCGAAGGCTGTTTCCAAGGAGGTTGATGTTTGATGGTTGGCGTGATGTTGGATGGCAGGATGTGAGGTCGTCGTAAGGTTGTCTCTTAATTCATCAACCATGAATGCTAATCAAATTCAATAGTTCAATGTGTGCATGTGGTGCTGTGACGATTCGTGCTCTGACCAGACAACCCTTCCCTGTCTGTCTGCGGCCTATTCGATCGCACTAGATGGTGTTGAGTGCCCTGGCGATTTGTGTCGGAATTGACAAGCCCCCGGTGATGCCGGCGTGTCCGCGTCCTCCGAACAACACGATCATTGGAAATTCCAACACATTGGCCTCATGTTGGCCTCGAGATGACAGCTCTCGCGGTGATGCCGGCATGCGGCACTGCGCATGTGGCACCGTGTTGATTTTGACGTCGAAACGTCTGAACCCCGCTCCTGGGACAAACATGTTGACAATGACTATGAGTCTCGCCAGTAATATAGGGACCTCGATCATGGAATAGGGGTTTTGGTGTTTATTATACTGTACTTATGATCAGGAACTCCACCATAGTATTGCTACTTAATTTTGGCCCCTTCGTTACATGTCAATGTACATTTGGGGAAGCAGTTTGATCATCTGTCTGCATTTGTCTGCATAATATACATGGGCGGGGGAGCATGTTCCCGGATCCCACAGTATCCTGAAATCCAGACCCGAATTGCAACAACCAAGATGTCAAACCCCGAACCTACATGTGAGACCCTCAACCCTAAAACGCAGATTCTGCTCAAGCTCTTAACTGAAGACCTCACATCACAGTTGCACCATGGACCTAGCCCTAAGCTCCACTCACCCTAAAACCTGAACGCCAAGGTCTTCAATAAATAAAGCCAAGCCTGTACCTCGCCCTGAACCCCGCAACATCCTTGTGCCTAAGTCCGTACCCCAAACCCTAAACCCAAAACCCTGAACCCTGAAACCCTGAACCCCAAACATCAATGCTGAAACATTAAGCCCTGAAACCCTAAAACCCTAAACCCTAAAACCCCAAGTCCCATGATCCTTTAAGTACTGAGGTCCGAAGCCCGCAAGAATTGGGTTTGGGGTCTTTGGGTTAAGACTCACAGGCTTTGAGGTTTAGGGCTTTTGGGGTTTAGGGGTTTTGGGTTTAGGGTTTAGGGGTTTAGGGGTTTAGGGTTTAGGCGTTTAGGGCTTAGGGTTAAAGGCGTAAGGCCTTCCACCTAAGTCCGGAGAACCCACAGTTGCCAAGGCTGGGCGCCTCTTGAACAGGGTCCACGTGTCTGGGGGGCGACTCGCTCGCATCACTGCCTGAAACACCGATGGTGGCTAGGGTTTTGGGATACACTCTACCTCCTACATGCAAATCCCAAACCCTGCAAGCAGAACATTCGAAACACAACGCTTTGCAGACCAAATCCTACACGCTGAATCATGAGCCCCAGTACTGTCCAGGGCTCGAGATTGAACCCGAGGAAACCCCTACAGCAGCCCCATAGAACCCTTACACATTCCCAGAAGAACCCTCTTGTATCCTGGAAACCCCAGCAAAATCCCATAGAACCTGTATGACTTCCTGCACAAACCCCAAACCCTGGGCTGGTTTAGGGTTTAGGGTTTAAGGTTTGGGGTTTAGGGTTTAGGGTTTAGGATTTAGGGTTTAGGGTTTAGGGTTTAGGGTCGGGACTGACGGTGCGGCTACCGGATTCCAGTTGCGGGGCCTTTACGGCCTTAGGGGTCAGGCTTTCAGGGGTTTAGGGT